TCGGCGATCATGTGATTAATCTTTCAACGGGACCACGCAGACACATATATATACACATACACACACATTCGCGAAACTTATCGTTTCTTATTTCTTTGTTAAATTTCTTTCTCTCGAAAAACAAATATTCTTTAGTATGTTTAGAAGTGTCATAAAATCAAGATATGTATCGTCGTGTTGAAAAGTGGCGAAAGTAAAAAATTAGCATTTTTGAGATAATAAAAGGAAATTGACCTGAAGACTTTAGGATCAATTTTTCTTTTACTATCTCAAAAATGCTAATTTTTCACTTCCATTACTGTGTCATTTTTCTATTTACGCGGTGTTATATCCAATTATAGACTGTATATATATTATGAAATTTTCTTTGCTAAAACAATTATTACTTATTGAACAATAAGTCACTTACATCTTATCGACAGGCTTATCAGGCGGAGTCAATTTGACAAAATTTCTATTGCTGAACCTTTATTATCTACATCTTCGGGCGGGCAATGTAAGCTTGACATACTCGTATTTTGCAACTTATTTTTACCAACGTAGATCAACTTTAATCTCGGGGTTCGACTTACTCTTTATCTTCTTCCAACTTTAAGAATTTTAGAAAAAAATAAAGAGGGCAAGTTAAGAGGCAAGAGATTAAAGTTAATCTACATTGGTAGAAATGGACATCAGTCTCGTGACGGAAGATGAACGACGAAATTGGATTTGACGACGAAACGAAACGTGATGGAAGACGCGAATCCGGACAAGATTCTCCGCCTAGTTTCTTTAATACATTTCGTTCTCGCATTAATATTCGCGAAAAGTGTACTTTCGAGCTACCGGCGAACGTGGAATTTCCGGCGATCTTGCAGGATCTGACATTTAACGAGACGTTTCTCATCTTACTGGCGGTGGCGACGGCGGCAGCAGGGTGCAGTTAATAAAAAGAAACGGCGACGCGCCCCCCCGGACGGGATTAACGTTACGTGACGGTGTGGTACGCGGGTGAATAATGAGAGCGGCTCATGCAAAAGCGATTAAACTCGTTTAGCTAAGAGCCGTCTGAGCGGATAATAAAATCGCGCGGGGTCTAATTCGATGAACGTGCGTAAGCGGTGACATCATTTCGCGCGACCTCCGCGCCTCCTCCTCTCCCTCCCCCCTCTCCCCACGCCGCCCCGCGCTCTCTACGGGAGCATTAATGACGATACGCTCCCGTGGTCCCGCGGTCACTCGGCGCTGAAACAGCGCCAGCGACTCTCCCCGGGCGTCGTTCCTCCAGCGACGAAATGCCTATCGCCGTCGTCGTCGCCGCGGGGCCGTCGCGTAATCCGCGCGCATTCCACGCGCGAGAGTTAACGGCGGGCGACCCGGCAACCTTCCTATAGCTGCAGCTCGCGCGCACTCTCGCACAGATCTCCGTATTTATAGCATTGTGTGCGGGCAGACAGATAGACGGAGAAAGGGAGGACACACGGCGGCGCAGCGACGTCGTCGGATGATCGAATCGGAACACGTAAGAGAGAAGGCCTTCGTATAGGAAGGAGTCGGCCGGCGCGGCGGCGGCGTGGAGAACACGTATTGGAGAACGCGATTGCGGATCGGTCGCGCGCGAAACGGGACGGACGCGGGACGGGTCCGAGAATTCACGATGAATTACATGTATTTTTCACGTGCAACGTGACAAATTGTATTTTTCACACAGCGGCGTGAATGTGCGCGCGATCGTTATCCGTTATACCATTATTATTACGGTGCAAGGCTGCCGCCGGTATATCGATCCTCGACCGATCCTTGACGGCTGACTCATCTTACCTTCAACGATCGGCTTAACCGATTAACTGCCGCTCTGTTCGGGTCTATTTGATCTAGAATGTAGTTTATTTTCTTATTTAGTATATACAATGTTTTAATTGAAAACTTTTCTCTGATGGTATATTCGATGACTTCGTTTATGACTTCGTTAATGTATCTCTAATAATGATCTTTTTTTTCTATGAAAATTTTTTTTCTTTTAATTTTTTTTTTTTTTAGAGCTTCTTAATCGCATTGACGCAAGCGATATGATCGTGCAGTAGATTTAAACGGAAACGGCGGGGTTAAACGGCGCGGAGTTTCCGAAAGCCGAGACTCGAGGAAAATCGCGTTTTTACGACGGTTGAGGAGCGGGGGAAAGAGGAGGGGGAGCACTTGAGGTGACCGAGGGGCGATGCATTTTGGAAGTATTTCAAGTCTCGCGAGATCGCGCTATAAAAGTCGCCCTAGAGCGCGGTTTCGCCGGCCTGAAACGCGCGCGGCGAAATGCAATTACGGACGCGCGCGCCAAATGTCCCGACGACGGCCGTTTTAATGAAAAGCGACGGAAACGCTCGCGGAACGACGCGAACGGGAAATTGCTTCTCCTTACGCAATTTTCGTTTCGGGGATCGATGCAAGAAGCTGTCCCCGTGTATCCCGGATGCCATCCGGTCGCCTCCCGTGGTAGAGCGAGACACACACGAATTTCGGTCTCGGTACGGAGCCGATGAGACGCGGCGCCGTCTTCGATTACTTCCGTCACGTTTCTTTCTTTTTTTTTGTTTTTGCTTTCGTTTTCCCCTTTTTCTATCCATTTCCTCGCTACCCTCGGTCGTTCGACGTTCGTTTAGCAGTCGGAGCACCGGAATGTCACGATCTCGACGCGACGTGTCCCACGCGGCGGAAGCGGCGTTCTTCAAAGGAACTCAACGCTCGCCGGCCGTCACCGCGATTTATTATCGCCCGGTTTGAAATAACGCGTGTCGGGAGGGTTGAGAGGATTACGTGTACCGTTCGCGGGACCATCTTGAGCGTGGGGAACGCGTCGCCGCGTCGCGTCGCGACGACGACGACGCCCGGCGTCCCGACGTCTCTCCAATTGTCTCCCCGCCGTTGATCTTTCGTCACGGCGGAGCTTTTACCGAACGGATTAAATTTCCGTGGTACTCCCCGATATGTGTGCTCGGATCGTTTACTCCTCCGGGACGAAATTTTTATCTCAGAAAGGAGGGGCCCCTCGCTTTTTCCGGCCGCCTCGGTCCCGCTCTTTCCTCCGGCCCGTCACGCGTCTTTCGTTTTGAACGCCGGAAGCGGCGTTGCTGACAGGTGCGACCGGAAATGAAAGACTCGCGCGTGTAGTGAAGCCCGCGCGCGAGCCGCACGTAGTATGTGCGTAATGAATCCACGATTCGAGATAAAACAGCGGATCCTAGACAAAGAGGGGGGGAGGGGGGGAAGGAAAAGAGGAAGAGAGAATAAAAAAAGAGAGAGAGAGAGAGAGAGGAGTTGCGCTCGCGATCTACTAGAGGGCAACACGAATCGATTATTACTAGATTATTACTTTGCTAATGGCTAATTTCACTTAACACACTCGCCTCTCCGCGGCAATCGGGAACCTAGTTTCACACGTTGCTGGATGCACCGCCCACCATCGCACGCCTGCCTGCCTGCCTGTGTGGTGTGATAAAGCCTCTCCTCTCTCGATACGTCACTCACGGGAAATCATGAAATTGTGACAGGAGGAGGGCTGGTGGGGAGGGAGGGGAAGACGGACCTTAAAAGGGTAGTCGTCCGGCGTGTGTTTGTTCGTCGATTTCCTTCGAACACACGTCGCCTTTCGAATACGGTGCACGAAGGGGGAACCATCAGGAGGTAAACGTGCCTCTCTCTCTCTCTCTCTTTTTCTTTCTCTCTCTTCCTCCCTCTCCCCCTCTCATCGCTCGCGGTCCCTCTTCTCCGCCCGACGCGCGTCGTTATTTTTAGAGCACCGTGTTTGTATTCCTATCGAGCGAGCGAGTGACAGTCCGTCCCGTTAGCGGTATTTTCCGTTCCTCTCAGCGAGCGCGCGTTCGCGGCGTTCGGTTTTTTTTTTTCACCCCCGGGACTCCTGGCTTGGTGCCCTACCTTGGCGTCCCGCGCCAACCTTCACGTCGCCGTCCGCGCGCGTCCGCGCCAGCCAGAGCCGCTTCCGCTCGCGCGGACACGCACAGCACAGCGTCGAGCGGGCCGCCTGCCTTGCCGAGGCGCGCATAACCTCAATCTCGGTGGCGCGACGACGCTCCAGCCCGCCGCCCGCGGGGGAGGGGGTTGTTCCGCTCCACCTGACGGAGAGGACGGGGCTCACGGGGCGAGTGCACTCTCTCGGCTCTTTAAACTCGACGGGGGCGAGAGAGAGAGAGAGGGTTAACCGACCTCCGGGATTTAGCGCGCGCGCGGGGCAGCCGCGACGGGAGCGCGGCCTCGTGATCTTCCGCTCCGATCTCGCCGAGATTCCCTCCGTGACACGGTGGTGCGCGTTCGCTCGGGCGCCGGGTTAAAGGAGTTTGACATTTAGCGCGAAGCGCCGCGGTAGGGTCGACGTGGTATACGTGCGCCTGTGTGTACGTGTATGTGTGTGTGTGTATGTATGTGTGTTCGTGTGTGTGTATATATACGTGTATACGTAGGCACCAGCACTACGGCGAGGCGATGTTGCTCCTTTCGACGTCGCTGCACACCCCCGGAATCAATAATCGCGTTGCATAAGCGACGAGAACGTCCGTCGCGAGCGAGCGAGCCGCGTGCCCTCACGTCCACGTCGCCGTCATCGTCATCGTCACCGTCATCGTCGGACATAATTTCCTCGAGTTTCCCCGAGAACACGCGGCCGCGGCGTATATCGATTGCGTCCGCGTTTCCGTTTCTCCGAGGAGGACCGCTGATCGCTGGAGAGTGCTGCCCGTCGTCGTCGTGCAACAACGATGTGCGCTACACACCTCGTGATGGTAGATTCAACTTGTTTAATCCACCTTCTCTGTCTCTCACGCGTCGACGGTGGTCCGTTTAGACTGTAATTCCCTCGTCGGATGGACATTGCGATAATCGTTTAAGTTACAAATGGAATCAAACGTGACGTGTGTATGAGTGTAACATTGGAACATGCATGTTTACATGCCACTTAGCGCTCGTTACACCTTGTAAACTTGACAATTGAAGAAAGTCCCTCGTTTGTGTTTCAGCCGTTGGTCCTCCATTCACTTGGAGGCCAGTGGAGCAGCGACGCCAGAGAATAATACGAGCTGTGGTAGCCTTGCGGAAGCGTAACAGTAGTTGGCTTCGGCCAACGGGGACGACTGGGATATCATGGCGACGATAGACGGCCGGCCGGCCCAATATGGTGTCACGCTTAGGCAACTCCGCGAGCTCATGGAGCTCCGGGGTCACGAGGGTGTCAACAAAATCACTAGCTACGGTGGTGTGCAGGAGATTTGTAGAAAGCTGTATACTTCACCTAATGAAGGTAGGGTTTCACCAGCTGTGTCTTGCTGCGATAGGGCATTTTTTTCATGCGATTGGACGGATAGTCTACAAGATCTTCCTTCTAATCTTATCAAGATTTAGAATCGTACACTTCTGACATAGAAAGGCATGCGATGAGAAATTTACATGACGCTATCGTAATGATTTGCCATCTGCATAGGTCTTAGTGGGTCAGCAGCGGACATTCAACATAGGCGAGATACATTTGGTTCCAATATGATACCTCCAAAACCACCAAAAACATTTTTACAGTTAGTATGGGAGGCATTGCAAGATGTCACGTTAATCATCTTAGAAGTAGCGGCATTGGTTTCATTAGGTCTTAGCTTTTATCATCCTGCTGATGATAAAGATGAGGAAAAGCGTAAGTATATTATGATATCATGTATTTTTATCTACGAGTGATTGCCACTTAGATAGCGTAGTAACGAAATCTTATGTAGTTTTATATTTCAAATCTTTTATATGTGTAGTAATATACCTATATGTAATAACTGCAGAAAGAAATTTTGTATCAACACTTTAGAGAGTGTTTGGTGCAAAACGCTTTAAAGAGACTTTTACAACATATCCTTTTCATTTATCTCCAGCTCGGTTAGCAGATGAGGACGAAGCGAAATACGGTTGGATTGAAGGACTCGCTATATTGATTTCTGTAATTGTGGTGGTCTTAGTGACGGCGTTTAATGACTATTCCAAGGAGAGGCAGTTTAGAGGTCTTCAAAGTCGAATAGAGGGAGAACACAAGTTCTCGGTTATACGGCAAGGAGAAGTGAAACAAATCTCCGTGTCCGATATTGTTGTAGGTGACATTTGTCAGGTACATATGCAGTGACATTAATCAGATTCTTTATGCGCGGCCTTCAAATATATAAATAATCTGTTAATGTTTTGGGTTAACTTCGCGCGGTATCCCTAACATATTAATAATGCTAGTAGTGGAAACCAAAATTTTACATTAAATTAACTGTTTGACAATACAGATAAAATATGGAGACCTGTTGCCTGCAGACGGTATTCTTATACAAAGCAACGATCTTAAAGTGGATGAATCCAGTCTGACTGGAGAGTCAGACCATGTAAAGAAAGGGGACACGTACGATCCTATGGTACTTTCAGGTGAGACCGCCTTGACTGAATTATCTTCGTGTTGCCTAGATTATTTCTTGGATAAAGAAAGAGTTTCAAAGTGTACGAAGAATCGTTTCGAAGAATTAAACTATCTTGTATATATTGTATTGTTGTAAAGGTACACACGTGATGGAGGGTTCCGGAAAAATGTTAGTTACTGCAGTAGGTGTTAACTCCCAGGCGGGTATTATCTTTACCTTACTGGGCGCTGCTGTTGATCAACAGGAGCAAGAAATCAAGAAAATGAAGAAAGGTACGTGTAATCGTTACTCCCGATCGACTGATCTCACTTTGAATGACTATACATTTATATACAGATGTTACTAAATTCTTGGAGTAATGTAATCTTTTATATTTACATTCACATAGTACGTGTCTTCTTGAAATTCTATTAGGTATTGTTAGATTAATTTCAAAATCGATATCCCATACTCTTTCCACTCTGATGATTTAGTACACCTGTCTCTCTCTTTCTCTTTCTCTCTATCTATCTACTAGCAACTTCTGAATCATTCAGTAAACTCTATTGAAAACTCTATTGAAAAGTCAATAAATGAATGTATTACGACGTGTTCATAGTACAAGCGGCTCGAGTGTAGCGAGCAGAATTTACGACGATTTGGCCTCTGATAGAAGTTGCTGGTATTCTACAATATCCTCGCATGATATTTACGAAATGTTTCAAAATGAGTGTAGACGAATCGCAGTGGACGCATGGTTTTGACGTGAATTGGTGTGATAATTTTTTATTACGGATTTTACAAATAGCCATTTCTTTTATTCCTTGTTTTTTTTCTACCCTTTGACATTGCATTTGCAACACCCCCATACAGATGGATTTCTGTACCTTTAATATTAACTCATTAACTGATTGGCCATAGAGAATCTGTGTTTTTTTTTATCCGTTAGCGTTTTCAAGGATGAAACACTAATACTTTCCATTTTTCGCAAAGTACAAAATATTCTAAAAATGCAATGATGCAGTAATATTATTTTTTTTTACAATACCCTCCATTAACAAAAAATTCTTTCTCCAATTCAATTATACACATTAAACGTATTAAGGCAAACATCGTATATAGGTAAACATCAAAGTAATTTGTAAATTACAAGTACTTCTTCCGACTTTACTTATCTTTATTAAAGTGCCATTATCATAGTTTATGAGGAATAAGGAGCTCTTATCAATACAATTTTTTCAAGTTGTCATTATTATGTCTCTTTTGTAAGTCATTTTGTGTTTTTGTCCCTCTTTACATAGCTAAAATGTTTCTGCTATATAATGTTTCTGCTCTAATGTTTTTTATCTTTGTCTGATATGTGTATATGAAGTTTCACATTTGATAATTGCAAAATTGAGTAAATTGTTATTATTCTATAATCTTCTCAGGTCACTTTTTTATAGAAATTGTCTTGGAAGTCACGTACTTTTCAAGGACTAAAAATTTATAAATTTTATTCTTAGTATATTCTGCTAATATTATATTGAAGAATATAAGGTTTAATTTTCTATTAAAAAAAAAAGAGGAATTATTTTTAGAAACCAAACTTGTCGGAATCTTCCAATCTTCGATCTTAAATAACTTGCTATTTTTTTTTTCCCCAGTATTTATAATTTAAGAAAAGTACGCCATTTTTGGGACATTTTATTATACATGAAAATAGAATATCAAAGGCATAATTCCTTTCTCTGACGATCCATGCTCCTCTGTACGTCTTTCGTTATTGCACAACCTGGAAGGTAAATCTGTATTTTCCCAACGCGTATATATATTACTCATAAATGCATTTTCATGCACTCTTACAGTTATATTACTGAAAATTTGTTCGTTTACCGTAAGAAACAGCAGCCGTTTCCGATTCTTTATGTTTGACCTTCTGGGCTGTACCTACCTCATTTGTTAGTTTTAAGTATTTTCACGAAAATTAATGAGAAAAGAAAGAAAAGCAAAAGAAATTATAATTAACAAAACTTAAATTCTCTTGAAATTGACGCGACTTATTGGCATATATATTTTCAGATAGATTGCTAATCGATTTCGTTTTGCATGTATTTTTTTATCTAGAGGCTAAAAAGCAGCGGAAGAAGAAGTCATTACCAGGTGAATAATTCTAAATAATATCTATTTATATATATTATATATATATATATATTATTGTTTTTCGATATATCTTCGATATATAATTATGTGTACATACATACACATATACGTTATTATTAACGCCAAGAAATTGATCGAGTTTTCAAGACAGCATTCAATCTTTTTTTTATCTTGTCAGTTTTTTTTTATCTCTCACTTCATCTTCTTTAATTCTCTGTATCACTCGCGGTGTATTTCCTTTTTTCTATGTTACTTGAGTTAATTATACCTACGATCCTTACACTGATATTACGTATAAAAAGACATGTTTCGTCGCATTGGCAACATTCGATTAAAATCAGTCCCACCTCTCTTCGTTGAACACGGTTTAAGAGTGGTACTCGGACCTGGTATATACGGCGCGCCTTGAAGCAATAATATTACCTTAAAATCATGAAAATCGCGGTGAGGGTGAATCGCGTTTTATCTATGGGACTGCGATATACATCGCTCGCTATTATAAACGCTGTATCCAGGACCGAGTGTAAGAGAAGAAACGAAATTAACATTGTCCACGCTTCCGTGTTCCCTACTGATCTTTGCGTGTTCTATTGGCAATGGTTTATATGCATTTGACACGTTAGCGGCTACCTCGTTACTGCATTAGCTTCTCGTTTTCTGCATTTTAGTAATGATATAAACACCCGTGGTTTTAAATCTGTGTTTTTAACATGTAACTGCTGTGTCTACTCCACTTAATCTTGATCATATCTCATTTGAACTTCTATCCATTTTTTAACTCGAGTAGCATCCACTATTTTATTAGAATGCTTTTAACGACTTGGTATATATACTCGTTCTAAGTTTAACGATCGAGGCTCAGTCGGCGTTGCGATCGATCAGCGGCCAAGCATAATCGGAGTGGCTTCGCCGAGGTGCGAGTAGAAATTGATCGAGTCGATTGAGCCTCGATTGGCATATAGCGATGGTGCGCGGTCTAATCTTGGCACTGTAAATCAAGGAGAGGAGTCGGTAGAGATTACCGGGAACAGTCACGTGACGGGAAGAGGCGGCAGCGGCGGCGGCGGCGGCGGCGGCGGCTGGCGGCGGCGGCGGCGGTGGTGGTGGTGGCGGCGGCGGCGGCAGTGGCGGTGGCAACGTCAGCGTCAAGCACGAGAGCGGCGAGAATCATCACGCGGCCGCACCCGCGAGCGCCGGGGAGGGCGGAAAGAAAGAGAAGAGTGTTCTGCAAGCCAAGCTAACTAAACTCGCCATACAGATCGGTTACGCCGGCTCGACCATCGCGATGCTCACTGTCATCATTCTAGTCATACAGTTCTGCGTGAAAACCTTTGTCATAGAGGGCAAGCCGTGGCGAAACACATACGCCGGTGATCTGGTGCGGCATCTGATCATCGGTGTCACGGTGCTCGTAGTCGCCGTACCCGAGGGTCTTCCTCTAGCCGTCACCTTGTCGCTCGCTTATTCCGTCAAGGTGAGACCGCAAGCGGGAGTCCCGTCGTGACTCTTCGGAGACCTCCCGTTCTTTTCTTCCCCCTCCCTCCCCCCTTTTAAAACCGTTTTGTTTCTCTGTTGTGTAGAAAATGATGAAGGACAACAATCTGGTGCGTCACTTGGACGCCTGCGAGACGATGGGTAACGCCACCGTCATTTGCTCGGACAAGACCGGCACCCTGACCACGAATCGCATGACCGTGGTGCAGTCGTACATATGCGAGAAGATGTGCAAGTCGACGCCGAATTTCTCGGACATACCGAGCCACATCGGCGAGCTGATCGTACAGGCAATCTCCGTCAATTCGGCGTACACGTCGCGGATAATGGAGTCGCTGGACCCTACTGAATTGCCGATGCAGGTTGGCAACAAAACCGAATGTGCCTTACTTGGATTTGTTTTAGCCCTGGGCAAGAAATATCAAACCGTGCGGGACGACATTCCTGAGGAAAGCTTTACGCGGGTGTATACGTTTAATAGCGTAAGAAAGAGCATGTCCACCGTTATCCCCAGAAAGGGTGGTGGATTCAGGCTCTTCACCAAGGGCGCTTCCGAGATCATCATGAAGAAGTACGTATATAATTTCTTACACATTCTAACACATATATTTTAACATCGCTTTGCGATTTTCAATACAATTTAAGTCCTGTAATTTCAGTCATTTCTCGGCAATTCAACAATTTTTTCTTACGCGTGAAAACCATCATGTTCTCCGAACGAGAGAAATTCTATTGTCCCGAAATCAGTTACTTTTTTTTTTTTTTAAATCAAACAGGAATTAAAAAATCTGATTGACTTTATTGCAGATGTGCCTTTATATATGGTCGCGACGGTCATCTGGAGACGTTTACCAGAGATATGCAAGAGCGTCTAGTAAAGAACGTGATCGAACCCATGGCATGCAACGGGCTGCGTACCATCTCCATCGCTTATCGCGATTTTGTTCCTGGTAAGGCGGAGATCAATCAAGTTCACGTCGAACACAACGAGCCAAATTGGGAGGACGAGGAAAATATAGTGAACAACCTCACCTGCCTGTGCATCGTCGGTATCGAGGATCCGGTACGTCCCGAGGTACCGGACGCGATCAGAAAATGCCAAAAGGCCGGCATCACCGTGCGCATGGTTACGGGTGACAATATAAACACCGCGCGGTCCATCGCGCTTAAGTGTGGTATCCTGAAGCCGAACGAAGACTTCCTTATTCTCGAGGGCCAGGAGTTCAACCGCAGGATCAGAGACAACCACAACGAGGTGCAGCAGCATTTGCTGGACAAAGTGTGGCCGAAGCTGCGAGTGCTGGCCAGATCGTCGCCCACCGACAAGTACACCCTGGTGAAGGGCATCATCGACAGCAAGGCGAGCGAGAGTCGCGAGGTCGTGGCGGTAACCGGCGACGGCACGAACGACGGTCCGGCTCTGAAGAAAGCCGACGTCGGCTTCGCCATGGGTATCGCCGGTACGGACGTCGCCAAGGAAGCGTCCGACATTATACTGACGGACGATAACTTCTCGTCGATCGTGAAGGCGGTTATGTGGGGCAGAAACGTCTACGACAGCATCGCCAAGTTTCTGCAGTTCCAACTGACCGTCAATGTGGTCGCCGTGATCGTCGCCTTCGTCGGTGCTTGTGCCGTGCAGGACTCGCCGCTCAAGGCGGTGCAGATGTTATGGGTAAACCTAATCATGGACACGTTAGCGTCCCTCGCCTTGGCCACCGAAATGCCTACGCCCGATCTACTCCTCCGTAGACCGTACGGTCGCACAAAACCACTCATTTCTAGGACAATGATGAAAAATATTCTCGGTCAGGCCTTTTATCAGTTGGGCGTAATTTTCACGCTTCTTTTCGCCGGTGAGTACCGTTCCTCTCCCCCCCTCCCTCTCCCCTCTCCCTTCCTCTCGCCGTCCCGCGATCCTTCGACTTACGTCAGTCGAAGCCTCGTCGAACGTTCGACGTTTTTGTCGGAACATTCTAAAGCTTTCGCAAAACGGCTGCCCGCAGGTGACCTGATGCTCGACATCGACACGGGCCGCGGAGTGGCGGCGGCAGGCGGCGGGCCCACGCAGCACTTCACCGTCATCTTCAACACGTTTGTCATGATGACTCTCTTCAACGAATTCAACGCCAGGAAAATTCATGGTCAACGCAATGTCTTCCAGGGAATATTCACCAACCCCATCTTCTATTCGATTTGGATCGGCACGTGTTTCTCGCAAGTGAGTTATCAATTATTCTTGCCCCCGTGTGATCGGAACATAAGGACGACGTCGTTAGAGCAGAATACCATCGATAAATATCTCGCATAGTAGTAAATTTATTTCTTACGATACATTTTGCAAAATAACTCTGGCTAGCTAGGTTTTTAACGATGATTTGAACAGCGTTGTTTCGTGCATTTTTAATATACACAATCGTCCGTTTATTTTTTTTTACAGGTGATCATCATACAATACGGTAAAATGGCATTCAGCACCAGAGCGCTCACGTTAGACCAGTGGTTGTGGTGCCTGTTCTTCGGAATCGGTACGCTAATATGGGGCCAAATAGTTACGACTATTCCTACACGCCGAATTCCCAAAATTCTTTCGTAAGTTAAAATTACGTACTCAAACACACCTACACGTACATACCAACACACGAACACGGGTTTTTTTGTTTGATTTTTGAGCACGAGGTTTGTTGCAAAGAGAGAAATGAACCAAAAAAAAACCGTTTGTGCTCACAACACTCCTGTGCTTTCCTTTTTTGTAGAGAACGATTTATTTAAAAATGAGGTTATTTTGAGATTCATGCATTTTGTTAGTTTCATTTTCAAAATCTGTAGTAAAAATCTTGACAAATTATCGCGCGCGCGAATATACGTACAGTGGCTGCCGAAAGTTTTCATCCAACATATAATTTTATGATATTTTTTAAAAATATATGTTGTGTAAATATCTAAATGTACCAACATTGTGGGTTTTATTATTCATTTAATATTGAACATTCTAAAATTGAAAATTTTTTATACAATATATTTAATCATTTTCAATACAATAAAATTACTTATTGGCCGGAAAATTTTTTGGCAGCCACTGTATATGTATTACGAAAATGGACCGATAATTAACTGATGAATAATTGAAATTTTTGCATCATGATAGTTTTGCTACATACAAATCATACGAAAAATATGAAAAAAAAAATGGAAGAATTTTTTGACAAATAAACTGTCTTTTATGATGACTGAGATTAATATCATTAACGTATTAGCATTGTGCTCAAATCGTAATGCTTGGAACGTAAACATATTTATGGAACAGTCACTATCTAATCTATCATTATACGTGAATTAGCATTCTAAGTTTTCGTCTCATTAACGGTAGATGCCTTTGCATGCCGAATCTTAAACTCACTCGTGCTGATCAGTACATACATCACAGTATATATATATCACAGGATTAGTAACAGTTTGTGTCGATTCCCGAAGAATGTTATCTCCTAGTCGCAAGCTCGCGTGATTATTTCACTTTGATCCGTAACAGGAAATTTTTGACCTGTAAAGTAATCGCAAAGTAACTGTCAAAATTCAATATCTGTATAGAAGCGCATTAGCGAATTGAATACAAAATTATAAATGAACGAATTGGCAGTCTAATTGAACATTGTATAGATATCTCTTTGTAATGACAAGACTAACTATTAGTTCCTCACATAATTACGATTATAATCAAATCCATCGAGCTTGGTGAAAATTTTAGTAAAAACGTAAGACAATTTTCGAAATGATTCTACTTCAAAAATTATTCGGTGCTACAATTGTCGGCAACCATATTGTTTCTAGCGGTCATGAATCACGGGCAATCAAATGTAAATGATCGCGCACGCTCAGATGAACCCAATCCCTGGGTAATTCCCTCGCTCCTCCAACCTGTACGTAATTTGGCCTTAATCGTTGCATGATTACAGCCGTCTTCGGAACCTACGTACTTGTTTGTGTAAGCGGTGTCGTGCGACCGGCGACAGCTCGGACGTACGCGCTGTCGCGAGACGCTAATCGGAGTCCGACGCATAGCGCACGATCTTGAATATTCAACGAGACGGACTATATAAAAAAAAAAACGATCAGACGCGCGAGAGCTTGTTTAGCTTAATGACACGACCGATTATTCGAATTAATTAATTTGGACCGAGCATGAGACGACGCAATCCGAGACGATCGCGCGATCGATAACGCTTATTAACACACGCTCTTTCACTCGATCCCCGTTGGATTTACGCGATCTCTCAGCGTTTTTCTTTCACGTCCTTACATCTATCTTGTTCTCCTTATTCTTGTTCAACTACGTTCTCTTCACTCTTCCGTCGCATATACACATACTTACACGATCATGCCCGACCGGACATGATTCTCTCTACGCCTATCGATTGAAATCGGCGTAATCTCGGCGAGGATCAGTCTCTCCGATGCTGTAAGCAAAGAAAAAGTATTTTCATCGAGAACGAAAGGATAAAAATTTTTTCCACACTTGCCCGCCTCGGTTTGAACTTGAAATCTGAACTCGCCGATTACAACAGTTTCGATCGCATTCGTACTACTCTTTCACATCGATATCTTTCCCTGCTCCCTGTCTCTTTCGCTCTCTTTTTCTTTTTTTTTTTTTCTTCAAGCTGACAGCTCCTAATGCAAGAGAAGCACAGTTTGAATGCCGCCGCATACGAGAAGTTCGTCCCGTGTAACAGGCGCGAGAGAGACGAGAGCAAGTTAATCTCGCGTCGAGTCGAGAATATACACGCTTTTTGCCTCTACTCTCTCTCTGTGTACGCGAGTCGAGGGCACTACTAAAATGCTACACGAGCGGAAAGGGTCAGCTAGCCAAAGGTTACAGGGAGTGTTCTCTCTCGCGAAGCTTTTACCGCCGCGCGCCGAGTATGTAGTACGGGTACACGTACCACCACTACCACACTTAGCCGCTTGTATAACACAACGTAACACCAGCCGGCTATTCACGCTGTTCGAGTGTGTGTGTGTGTGTGTATGCCGTTTCGTAGGTGAACAGAAACCCGATATACATATTTCCCTCCGATATATTGTATGATATTGTACGTCGCGTCCATCGCGTCCCGGCCATCGCCTGCAATGCATGGCCAGGGCACGACGGTGCGAGAACCGATTGACGTGCACTCGCTATATACATGAGCAACAGAAGAACGATCCTCCGTCGGGTTGGTCCCCTCGAGTTCACGCGCATTTCCGCGGCCGAGCTCCTTGAAAGGGAGAGACGCGGTGGATAATTCCATTCGTCCACATCTCTCCGTTGCCACCTTAGCTTCGCTCGATTTTTCTTTTCTCCCTCGCGCGCGTGTTGAACGTTAATTGTTGAACGTGAATTTACGGACCGGCCCGACCGACGCATCGTCTCTCCTCGTCTCCATCGACGAGTGCCGGGTTCTCCACGAGAGAGCCTGTGCGAGAGGCACTATAAATAGCGACGACAGGGCGACACGTAGTCGCGTCGGCACTATACGCGCTTCTCCGCGCTTTGCACGTCGCTCAACAGGTAAGGGGATAATCGCACCTGCTTCTTGCCAAGACGACGACCTGACGCAAAATTCGACGACGTGTCCTGAAAAGACGTAGAAATAACGGAGACGAACCGACGAAGGTATTGAGCGCGTAGAAAGACAAGCCAAACGGAACGGAAACATAACGTGTTCCACGAAGGTACGGCTTATCAAAGCGGCAAAATGTTATCTGTACCTCATCGCGGAGTGAAACGCCCAAAAGGAGGCGTTTTGAGGGAAAACTGACGCATCACACACACATCGGATGCAAAGAAAAACAAATGCATTCTCTCTGTCATCTCGCGCGCATATATTTTCTCCTCTCTTTTTCTCTCTCTCTCTCTCTTTCTCTCTCTCTTTCTGGTTTTCTTCTTTCCACTCATTTCTCGCATTTCTTTGCTGTACTTGCTATCGATTGTAACATGGAAGGCTGAAATCGCGGCAACGAGATTGAAGAAAAATCTTGCCTCTCTAATGCTTTATTTTACACTGACTAACATTCTTCACCGATAGAATGTACGTTCTTGCTCACGACACATCCGCACACTTGCACCCATTATGCATCTTCCTATTCACTGACCAAACGTACGGAGTGTTTGTTAAGCAGCCCGTTTGATCACCGAAGATTGAAACAATTTTTTCAGAGAATAATCAGAGATTAATTATAAACACTATTTGTACTCCTTTAAAGCTGGATATCTTGATCATTCCTGCTGAACTCACAAAAAAAAATATCATTTTGAATTAACTAGGGAATAATAGATAAATTGATCTATTCCATATCTGGAACGTGACTGAAGAGCCGTGCATGTCTCGAGACTTTCATCAACAGAAAATCATTTTAGCGTCATCAAACGTGCCTATTGGCAAGCACTCCGCATTTTCCCCAATCACGCAATCACTCCACCGATCGCACGCACAAGAAAAAAACACGCACCTGATCCACCATCTCTCGCTCACCCCGCCTGACGGCCTTATCACGATCACCGATAATTCTTTTACTTACACCATATCGAGTCACGCGTAGCGTCAGCACATCGTAAATAGATTAGGGATTTCCGTTGAGAGGAGCGAGGGAAAAACGGTATCATGGGTGCAGCGCGCCGAGAAGAGAGCGCCGGTTGCGAAACTTCTGTCTCGGCCGCCGAGAAAAAAAAACAGATACAAAGAACAAGCGAAAGAAATTAACAAAACAAACCAACACCATTCTCTTATTCCATTCAGTTTAACAGGAAGAATCCGAGTGATGAAGAAATGGTTTCATGTTTTTTTCAAAAACAGATGGGGCCGCGGCCAGCCGGATGATATCGGTGCGATCAATCTAGGAGACGAGAAATTCGACCCCGACTCGGATAAAAAGCCGCGCGCAGGGCAAATTCTATGGATCCGTGGTCTAACACGGCTACAGACACAGGTAACTATCCCTATCTCTCTTTTCTCTCTATCTATCTATCTATCTATCTTATCTTTCTCTGTCACTCTGTCTCTCTCTTTCTCATTCTCTCATTATCTCATCATTCAAAAACTCAAGATTCAATATATTCTCTCGAATTCCTGTCTATATTCACGAAAACAGAAATGAGAAAAACCCAATAAAAAAAAAAAAGAATACCGCCCCCGGATCCGACACGGGTCCAGGTGGCGAGATCACACGAGTCACATACGGTCCTCTTATAAACGTCTTTTTTTTTTTAACTCTCAGGACTCTTTTCTTTTTCCTTTTCTTTACTTTGTTTCTTTCTTTTATACAGTGCGCGCGCGAGACCACTCGACGCTCGCACGCGACGTCGAACGTTACGCGCGCGCCGTATTTCTCTTATTATCAACAGATACGTATATATAGCAGATTGTAATTAAATCCACCATTTTACTTGTATAAAAACTGCTACCACCATTACTCTACTTGTTACCACCGACAGCGACGACAACAGCGAGTTTCAGTTTTCGACCGTTACCTTGGTTTGCATTTTCATTTGAGTTCCACCGTTACCGCGTTATATAGAGTGCCGCGCGCGGGTGCGCGTTTTTTTTTCCACACTTCGGATCCGAATGAAACCGACGACGACCGTGTGCGATAAGAGTGCCTTCAACAGACGATTGAATCGCGTCCCGAAGTAGACGGGATCGTTAACCGCCCGCGCCGGCAGCCGCCGTCGTGGTAGCGCGCGCGCGGGGAACGATCTCTCTCTTTCTCTCTCTCTTGCTGTGTGAAGGAGGAGTGGAGAGCCACGCGCGCGGATTTTTTTCTCTCGCACACACACATACACACGTGGAAACACCCTTCGGTGTGTTGCTCTCCTACTCTCTCCTTCAGAGAGACGCGATTATACATATACTGACCGTGTGTCTCTTACCAATTAGGGTATACAACACGTGCACAGATTCATGTACATATATACATATACTATATTTATATCTATATATATTTTATAAACAAGTAAAAGAACTCAGTGTGTAAGTCTTAACGCCGATAAGAAGCTAGGTCTAATCTGTCATGTCATTATCTCAGGTAGGAGAAATCGGTCGCGGGCCTCGATCGACCGAGCCCCGGTCGATCGGCCCCGCGATTAGGGTGACAGGACCGAACGTAGAGAAACGGCAGACAAGAGACGGATAAACGCGAGTAAAAAGAAAGAAAAAAAAAAGAAACGAATTTTTACCTGAACTCGTTATGACTCTCGACCAGCGTCACTGATCGCGCATGCACGACTCTTCGACGAGAACGACGCACTGATAGGGTTGACGCACATACACATAAACACACATAGAGACCTGCCGTAGTCAACGCACAAATTAGTGCTTGTTTTCCGCCCGTATATCTTCTCCCCCCCCCCTTATCGTACATAACGCGAGTACCGGCGATGTGGGAGGGACGGGGGGAGGGACAGTTGGGACCAGACGCGGTGATCTCCTTATCCGCGGGGGATTTGCATGGGAAATCAGCCTGCGATCGAGGCAAACGTACGGACGTATGTCGGGGACATTATGGGAGACACTTCAGTAATTCTTCTAGATTCGAAGATACGACAGAGATTTTTATCCCCCACGTCCACGTTTTCGTTTTAAGGTGACAGAAGGTTGACAGTCTTTTCATGTCTTCAAATCGAACGAGAATTAGCCGAGAGTGTCCCGTGTCTCCTGGAGACACGTATAGACAAGTGGAGAGACCGGAATGTGCAGATTTATAAAACGGTGCAGATCCGTCGTTTGTTTCGATCCGCTTTACTTTGTCATGCAAATCGGAAAAAAAAAATTGTCCCAGCTTTCCCGATCGCGGTACTCTCCCGCATCCCCACAGTGAAGATCGCGAGTGTCGTGACCAATGCGTAGGGAGAAATAGTACCACCAAGCATCACCGATTTTCTGATATTGAGTCGAGTTTCCTGATATAACTAACTTCCTGGCGTCGACGAGCTTTCGACCTGAGCACAGTAATATATCTTACGTATTTGCGCGTTACATTATATATTACATATATATTATTATTATATACGTTCTTATTCCCGTACAGCTTGCATCTCCACAGTAGCTCTCCACAGACAGCCAGAACCAACTTAGCAGTGGTCCACGCAGTCCTCAGCCAATATCTCTCTTTCTTTCTATACTCTCTCTCTCTGACTCTCTTTCTCTCTGTTTGTTTCTCTCCCGCTCCCGCTCCCGATATCTCTCACGCTCGGTTTTTTCCCCCTTCTCTACCTCTTGATATATGCTCTATCACTCCGTGAGTCCTCGTGAGATTACGTGTCAGAAACGCTTTCGTTCCCTCATCTCGGGAGGGCACGTCCGGGAAAAACCCCGAAAGTATGTGTGCGTGTGTGTGTGTGTGTGTGT